GAAAGAGTGAGCTGACTTTCCATTCCCTCCTTTTGAGTAGGCAGATTCCCTTGGCACTTCTGGAGCTCATGTGATTTGACTCCTTAAATCAGATGAGGAAGGTGAAGGAGATAGGTCCTTCTTCTTGCACGCTCAGAATGAAGTATTGTTGTATGTTACTGATAATGCATGTGACATTTCATTTACTAGAGGTTTTCAGTAATTTGGCAATCCTGTTGGTGATTTGTGGGAGTCTGCCTGCTAGGGCAAACAGGCTGAAGGGCCCTTCTAGCTCTGGGTCTGCATTAGTTAATTTTTGTTGTTTTCATGACATTTTGAACATAGATACTAAGGGAATATCTTTAAAGTTATGTTTTATTTGGAAGTTTTTGCTGTCTGGTTAGAATCTTAATAAGAAAAGGAAACAGTTTAATCTTAGACTGTAGGTAAAGCGTTAAAAGCATAGAATTGGGAAACATCAAATAGTGTAAAAAAAGTACTTTTTTATCAGTTCAAACCCAAATTAAATATTTAAAAAGAAAACTTGTGAGTCTGGTGCTTCAAAAATCAAATTGTTGATTTTTAGCGGCTGTTGAGATTACTGTATGCTGAGTGCTTCACAGAACAAACGTGGGGAATATAAACATTGATTTTAAAATGAGTACTTTGACGTGCCGTCATTTATGTTAAAACTTAGGTGGTTAACCCATTAAAGCGAAGAAGCTGTACATGGTCAGTGAAAGAATAAACAAAGAGAAGATGAAGGCAGAAGGTGAAAAAGAACATAAAAGCTCTTCTGTGATAATTTGGGAGGAGCACTGGATTTTGAAGTGTATATGCCATCAGGGTGTGAATTAATACCGTGCAAGAAGTAGAGCTGCAGTTACCAGAATGTGATACTGTGTCTATTACTAATGACTGAGGTGACTACTTTTGGTCCCTCTTCTCACCTGGGTGGAGAGGTAAAAAGAAAGCCAAATTCAAATTGCTTTTGTTATGTAAGTGGATGTAGAATGTCACAGAGCTAGAGGAACTGGCTTTTAGTTAAGGCAACTTACAAGAATATTATTCTATCAGTCGTATAGTAACACAGTGTCTTTTGGATGACTTTGGACAACTTTTCTTTCAGGACCAATTTGAACAACATATCCACCAAGATTTTAGTGTAAATATTTATGTTTATTATGGGTCTGACCGTAGCAAAGACCCATCAGTTCTTTCAGAACAAGACATCGTACTGACAACATACAACATCTTAGCTACCGATTATGGAGTAAGTAAATGAGGAAAAAGTGTTCTTTGAAGATCCCTTACTGTTCAAGACTCTCAGCCTTTGGGCTAATGATGGCAGTATATTCAAGTGCTATTCTGGTAGGCAATGAAAAGGTTATAGCTGTAGTTTTGCTTTGCATACTTTCTTACGGGTTTGCTGTGGTAATGAAGGGAGTTTTTCATTGATTGCTCCTGTGGAGAAAATTATTTGGCTGCAGTTATGACAGCGTAAGGAAGAGATTTTTTTTTTAAGGATAGAAAAGGATGGCAAGTATGTAAATCTCAAATCTTAGTGGCATGACACTCCCATTTCTGCCTTTCCTTATCAAATTCAAATACTATGGATCATATAAAGACATAACTCCATAGTTCTTGTTGCACATGGGCCGCAACCAAGTAGCTTATTGCGTGAGATGTATTTGTAAAGTGAATTTTTTGTAGAAATTCCAGCCATTTTAAAAACATGAAGATTTAAATCTTCAAATGTAATATAAGCTTTTAATTTGCTCTCTGATCTGTTTTCTGTATCTCTGTGTCTTTGAAACCTTTCTTCTTTTCAGGCTCAGCTTACTTTTACTGTAACTCATTCCTCATATTCAAGGATGAGAAGACTGGTATAATCTTCTAGGAACCAGTAAATCTAAAAGAAGGAACACCTCGTTCTTAGTTTTTCTCTTTTGTGCTGATAAACAAGATACAAATAAATACTATCCATTATTAATTGTGGAATTGTTATATTAATAGCTTGTTTAACCCAAATTGCAAAAACGGATTTTGAGTCAAAGATTTAAAAAATACTGCATTTCAGATCAGAGGTGACAGCACTTTACATAAAGTCAAGTGGCTGAGAATTGTGTTGGATGAGGGGCACACTATACGAAATTCAAATGCTCAGCAAACCAAAGCTGCTTTGAATCTGGAGGGACACAGAAGATGGGTACTTACAGGTAAAACATTGCCAGCAGAGGAAACACAGTGCAAATCATGTTTGTGTAACAACATCATCTTGTGTTTCCCACTTGGTGTTTCCTCTTTGGCTGTTTCTGGGAGATGGTTAATGTCTGTTTGTGTCAAATTCGTTTGGGATGTTTTTAAACTTGTCTTTGAGCAGTGACTTAGGTGCATCTTCTCTTAGTTGTTTTTGATTTTGTTTGCTTGGGTTTGTGGTTTTGTTTGGGGTTTTTTGTTAGTTTTTGTTATTATTCAGTTTGTAGACACAAATTTTAAAATAATTTTTGATACTCAGATTTGGTGGAAGTGCAAGTAGAAAGGGATCTATTTATGAACTGGAATGTTACTTCTAGTTAGAAGTTCACACTCTTCTGTACTTACCTGAATATCAGTAGCTTTTTGAAATACAATAATCATCCTAGAAACTGCCAGGGACCAGGCAAGCATACGATCTTTAAATGTAGTTTAAAGAAGATCATGATGTAACCGCTACTGGTGAAGCTGAAATGGAAATATTAACAAGTAAGTCTTCCTAGCACTGAGAGCTGCAGTTCTCTTACTAATATCATTTAAGTACTTTGTAATATTTTAATTAAAAAAATAATATGTATTATACTTAGTGACATGTCAGCCTAGTTATAAGAGGCCTTGTCCATGGTGTATGGTTTGGAGAAAGCACAGAATTTTCACTTTGACTAAAAATCGGTATTTTTTAGTTTCTCTGAGGTTTTACAATGGTTTTTTGTTTGTTTGTTTTCTTGTTAGGCACTCCTATTCAGAATTCTGTAAAAGATTTGTGGTCTCTTATTTCCTTCTTGAAACTGAAACCTTTTACTGATCGAGAGTGGTGGCATAGAACAATTCAACGTCCAGTCACAATGGGAGCTCCAGGAGGACTTGGGTATGAAGTGTTCCCAAAGGGTCTGTGAATGAGTATGACTGGCAGTGGTTGGGCAGTGTGACAAATTGGTGTTTCATGTTTAAAATGGAAAGGCGTGTGTCATCAGTTCTTACTTCAATTTTGTAGTTCAAATTCATAAATATTAAATAATTCAAATTATTTAGTACTTCATATTAATGAATTATATTGTACTACTGGCTTGGATTTTTTATGGAACATGTATTTATGCAATAAACTGAAAAGAAAACCCCACCAAAAAACCAACACCAGCTGGGTAATATATTATCTATATATGTATTTTTAGGCGTTTACAGTCTCTGATTAGGAGTATTACCCTTAGAAGAACTAAAACAAGTAAAGTTGAAGGAAAACCCATTTTGGAGTTACCGGAACGTAAAGTACTTATTCAGCATGTTACACTTACGGAGGAAGAGAGACGCGTCTATGAGTCTGTGAAGAAGGAGGGCAAGGCTGCTATTAGCAGGTAAGTAGAAGTCTTTTCTTAATCGTGAAGGTTGAAGTTTGATATCACAAACTTATCTTTTGGAAGTTTTGATTGTGTTAGCTCTAGTAGCAAAGTGTGTCAGTTTGTATGCTGTAAGCTAATAATTGCAAATTGGCACAGCATCTGCTCAGTTCTGAAGAGTGAAGTAGAGACTATTGCAGAACTATGTATTACAAGTTCTGTCTTGCGAGAAATAGAAAGGCATACCAGGTATACAATGAATGACGTTAAAATTTTTGTCACCATGTGTTAGCATTTCTTCTAGTAGAACATGCTACTGGTAGCATTTTGTACCTTGTTTCAGAAGAGGAATTGAGAAAATATATTCAAACAGGAAAGTGAAAAATCAGAACATCATTCTAACAGCTAAACTTGATAACTTCCATGTCATCTGTTACTTCAGGCTGTAGCATTTCATACTAACCATGAAACACTTGTTTAGATTTTTCAGTGCAGGGACTGTACTGGCTCACTATGCTGACATCCTTGGTGTCCTGCTCAGATTGAGGCAGCTTTGTTGTCATCCTAATCTTTGTATAAATACATCTTCTTCCAGTTTTTCAGCTGGTGAGTGAATGCTTTTGGTTCCTGTGTTTCTAATAACAGGACTTGCACTTTGTATTCAAGAACAGAAACATGTCTGTGTGTTTTGCAGGCTTTGTAGCGTCAGCCTTCCTCTTTTCAGCTTGGATTATTGAACTTCAATCTTTGTTACCTTTATTTTTTTTTTTCATACCGTGATACATTTGAATATGTTTGAGAAGTGGGTACTCGAGCACGCACTCAAATACGGACGAAAGCAGTGAAGTATGAGTAGTTAAAAAGGCTAGAATCAGGAGTTAATAAATTTTGACAGCCCATACAGAAAGGACCACGGAAGACCTCTGCAGAGCCAAATGCAGGAGGCTTGTTAAAAAGCACTGTATCTGTTGTAATAATTTACAGAAGGGCTTTTACAGCAAATTTTTTACTTTGCCTCAGGAGAGAAGATGTAGAGGAGGTTGGGGCATGGTTTGTAGATTAGTAGCTGTGTCAGCAGAAACTTTTCCTCTTCAGCAGCATAGGAAATGGTTGACATTGTTACAGCTGTGAGGAAGGGTGAACACAGAGGACTGAAAGGAGAGCGAGATTTTATTTTTTACAAGCCCGAACTGCATGGTTACGTAGTGTTAAAAATTATATGTATTTCTTTCAGGAGAAAGTATAGTCTGTTTGAAATACTCTAAATTTGAGAATTCTCGCATTTAATATTTTGAAAAATCCTATTTTGAGATGCCATTGGTGTAGATGCGATTTTTCAGGAAACCAAAAAACCAGTGAGATACGGTGAGAACCTTTTTTGGAAGGTTGTCATTTATCTTCCTGAAAAATACAGGGTGGAAAAATTATTTGATAGTTGTCCAATAATTAGTTAGAAATTAATTAGTAACTAGTAAGTAAGATTTTAGTTTCTTTATTTAAATAAAAAAGCAATCTTAACTATAAATCATCTCCGTATTATTGTTACGTGACCAGCTGCCATATGAAAATTGCTTGTTCCCATTAGGCATTGTGTCGCACGTGTACTTACCACTGAGCATGTAGTCAAGGTTCTTTGAATTTTTCCGAGTAAGATTACTCTTAATGTGTTTCACAATAATAGGCTGTAATGTGCTGTACGATTTGCAGCTTGTGTTTTTATACACTGTAGGCTATATCCTCATTGTGTATAAACTGTCCTAATTGCATTTTGTCAGCTCAGAGAGTTTCCTGTGTGGAAATCTCTGTTTTTAAGTATCTTTCCATATTTGCAGGTAATAAAACTCCTGAAGAACTGCATGAGACTTTAGTGAGTAAAATGAAGTTGGTTCTGAGCTCTGGTTCAGATGAAGAATGTGCAGTTTGCTTGGAATCACTGACTCTTCCTGTGATAACACGCTGTGCGCATGTGTTTTGTAAGCTGTGTATTTCTGAAGTCATCAGAAGTGAACAGGTTGGTTGTGCTGTGGTTACCGTTAATTGTAATAGCTATTCAGAGGCAATGAACCGGTATCGCCAGAAGGCCATCTAGCTATTTTTCTTTTAAATCATAAATGGTGAACAGTGTAAACCTAGTTATCAGCTGGGTTATAAAAACTCTTGGCCTGAAGTCGAACTATGGAGAGACTAGCTGTCAAACTGAACAGTGTTAAGGTCCATCAGTATTTTCAAAGACGTTTTCCCTTGTTCTCATCTTACTTTGTCCCTAGGGTAAAAGTGATGGCATCCAGTGCAGCATTGTATACCTCCTTATGGCTGGATACCTCTTGTTGGATATATTGTGTGTATCTTACTGGATACATTGCTTGTATGTGATGTGATGCATGTATATATTGTTGTGCTTAAGAGAGACCAATGCTGCGTATTGGAAGTTCTGTTGAACTGAAATTATGTCTACTATTCTTATTCCAAGCTGATAACATTCTGTGGTGAAACAGCAGCCTTACTGGAGGGCCATCTTTATGGCTCTTCTCTGGACTGTCTCCAGAATAAGTTTGTAGATGAGCATCTTTTGATTTGCTTTTTTGAAAAATAATGTTTATTTTTCTTGTGTGCTTCTAAGCTGTACTCTTCCTTCTTGTTTGCCCCTTTCCTTTCTAGGGCAGTTTAATAGCGTAGTAGGCTCACCATCTGTATCCACTGCTGCTGCGCTTTCTCTCTGGAGTTGTTCTGCTTCCTGCTCAGCCATGGTAGAGCTGCAAGTGCCAGGCTAAACCTAGGTGTGGTGTTCTTTATAGGAGGGAGCAGGAGACAAATTAGTGCCTGCTTGTGCGTAATCAGTCAATTTAACAAGACAAAGGTGGGAGGCGTTGTCTGTCTGGCATGTAGTTTGACTTTGTTTCATTGCTAGACATGCCAGGTTCTGATACAGTGTGGTGGTTTGGCCCCGGCCAGCAGCAAAGGACCACATGGTCTCTGTGTCGCTCCTCCGCCTGCTGGGTTGGGGAGGAGAATCGCAATTAAAAAAAGGCAAAACTTCTGGGTCGGGATTAGGGCAGTTTAACAGAACAGCAAAGGAAGCGTACAATAGTAACAATAATACTGGTAAGAAGAATATACAAAACAAACAGCACAATGCACAGAGCAGCTGTCACCACCCTATGCCTAGCGCGCTTCCGAGCTGCGATTAACCTCCCCCCAGCCAGCTTCCCCCCTCAGAACTGAGCATGACATCGCATGGTATCGAATACCCAGTTTGTTTGGCCAGTCTGGGTCAGCTGGCCCAGCTGTGTCCCCTCCTGGCTTCTTGTGAAAATTAATCCTGGCCTAACCCAGGACATGCAGATATCCCAGTCGAGAGTTTCTGAGAATTTTGAGGGGAAACTAGTGATATGAAATTACTCTTTAAGGAAAGGTGTTTGTTCAGTGATGTAGTTCTTAATGTGGCCGTAACAGAGTCGGTGCCCCTGCTCAACCTTAAGGTGCATTTAGGCATGCAGAGAAATAAATCAGGTTATGACATGGTGGAATCTGTATTACTTGACTGTACAGTCAAGTTATTTGCTGTGCTTTGCCTAGGAAGGACCTTGGAATCTGCAGAACTAGGCCCTTTGATCAATCCCACATTGTTCCGTAGATTGCTTTTGCAGTAGTGAAGCCTGAACAGGGGTGGGTGTAGATTCTGCTCTTTTGAACTATCAGGAGTTTATAAAGCAGTGAGTGAGTCAGCCTTTCTTATATTCAGAATGATTCGTGATTTAAATCAATTCCCAGAGAAGTTTTTGCAGCTTCCAGCCAAAATGCTGACAGACATCAAAATTCCAGAATTGGGGAATCCACTGTACATCCTAGTGGTGCATCTCAGTTGGGTAGTTCCTGTGTGGGAATCATTACAATCCAACTCTTTCCTAGTAAATACCTTGGGGAGATACTTTACTTACCACCTTAAAAACAAAGCAAACCAACAAACACGTATCTCCTCTAAAACAACTTGGATTCAGACAGGATTCTTCCAGGCCAGATGCCTGTGGCTTCCATTATGAATACACATGAGAGCATTAAGCCATCAGTGAGGAATGGGATGTGAAGCTGGGTGAAAAGTTTGGCCTTTCATTGTACTGCAGACTTGAAGACCATTTTATCTTTCTAATATTAATCTTTTTCTAATGTTAATGTTAGAAAAGCTTTACTGAAAGTGGCAAAACTTTTTAGTAGTTAACAGCTTGGAAGTTAACACCTGCTGCATTTCAGTCTTTCACTGAGGCTAGCTTCAGAGTTGTGCAAGTAAGTAAAGATCCTATGCAGAAGTCCCAATAAAGCTATAAAATCTCTACAGTAATCCACTGTCTTTGTGTATTAACTGCATTCCTGTAAAAGTTTGCCATATGTGCATCAAAACATTCTATTTTTTCTTCTAGCTGTTGATAGCAAGATATTTTTTGTCACTTTCATGTGCTGTCACTGCAAGCCTTCCCTGTCTGTGTTGGCATTGTTCAGCTGTGTTTTGGATTTTCTGTTGTTTGCAATTACAGTTCTAAATTGGAGATGGGATGCAGAAAGCTTTAAGCCTTTTATTTAAAAAAAAAAAAAAAAGTTTCTTTATGAGCTTTTTTTCCAGAAAACTGTTTCAGATTCATTAGAACTCCTTTACTTTGTCTCGTTACTGCAGGATTTTTGGATTGCTGCCAAATCAGGAATGGTTCATTTTTAGCTGTGTTTTGGAGACTTACTTCAGATTTATTTGTGTTAAGATTCTGTCTTTTGAAAGGATATCTTTATGGCTGCAGTACACAGACTATGACTGCCAGCCTCTTCCAGAAAACTGTTTCAGATTCATTAGAACTCCTTTACTTTGTCTCGTTACTGCAGGATTTTTGGATTGCTGCCAAATCAGGAATGGTTCATTTTTAGCTGTGTTTTGGAGACTTACTTCAGATTTATTTGTGTTAAGATTCTGTCTTTTGAAAGGATATCTTTATGGCTGCAGTACACAGACTATGACTGCCAGCCTCTTTAATTGGCTAGAGGTTTATTACAGATTAGCACCCCCCAGTATTCATCCACTTTGTGAGGGCTGCTTTGCAGCCTGTCTAAAGATGCCTTGTTTCTGTGGCCAGGTTGCTATATAAACCGAGTTAGCTAATTTTAATGGGTTGCTCTGTTAGGCAAAAGTTTTTCATGTCTGTCATTCTTGCTTCACAAAGTTGTGTATTTGTATAGTGCACGGTCTCCTGTTAAATTTTGTGAGTAGTCCTAGGGAAGTGCTATTATATACGTTCTAAACTCTGACTTATCTAGGGTATGCTTCAGAGAAAAAAGCTTTTGGTGTTAAATTATGTCTCATTTCTCATGTCTGTTGGGTAAAAAGAGAAGATACCCTGTGTCTGGCCCTGACAAAGCATAGTTCATCAGACTGCTATTATTTCTGTGCAGGCTTTGAAGAAAAAGGGTAAAAGGTCATTCTTTGTAACTAAGAAAGATCTTGTCTTTGAAAGATGGTTTATTTTGCTGATGTTTTAAATAGTCCTCTCCTTGTAGCCAAAGTATTTGCTTGCTTTTAAATCTTGAGCTGCTTATTTTGAGTATAAATATGCTCAGAAAGAAGGCCACTTTTAAGGAAGGCTGAGTGTTTTTAAACATGCAGCATTGATGTCACCTTAATGCTCTCACAAATAAAATATTTCTATTGGAATGTCAGAAATGACAAAGCAGTGCGTTACAAGAATGAATGTTCTTCTTGAGGATATTTTGTATGAACACCAGTATAGTAATTTCATAAAAGATGCTTTGTAAAGGTGATTTGTAGTACTTGCTATAAATAATTTATTTAATATGTTTCTTCTAATGTTATTTGGGCTTTCTTGTAGCCAAATGCCAAATGCCCTCTCTGTAGGAATGAGCTTCGAGTAGAGCACTTGGTGGAATGTCCCCTAGAAGAGGAAATAGACTCCAGTAATGGAAAGAAGTCTGATCAGGAGTGGATATCCAGTTCAAAGGTACGTTCCATTTTGTTTTACTTGGCTTTCATTAAGGTTTTGCAGGAGCACGCTCTAGAATTTTTATGTAAATATGCTGAACATACTTTACGTATGCATAGTATACTTTAAATTATTATTTAAAAGTGCACAGTGTGTCTAGCCAGCACAGGAGAAAATGCATAATAAAAATCTTATCACAAACAAATTTTGCAGCAGGGAAACGACGAAAGGTGTGCCAGTTGTCATTTGATGCTGGTCATTGTGCCATACATAGATGTGTATTAATTAAATAAAACTTGCGGTAAAAGAGCTGTTGCTTTGCCTTTTGTTTCTGTTTCTGAAGATGGTGTAGTTCTATAACCACTGAAACTATTCAGCTCTTAATTTACTTTTGGAAACTAAAAATTTAAATAAATTCTTCTTTCTTAAAACTTGTCTAAAGAATATATATTGTGGTCTAGAGGGGAAAACTAAATGGGCATATATAACACTTGTCAGATAAACGAGTGAGATATTTTTATTTTAATTTACACAGACCTATTTGTCAAGGTCTGCCACATCATTTTTTGCCTTGTCTTCATTGTGCATTTGCTGCCAAAGATTAAATCTTCCTGCTTGTACTTTGACCTTTTGGTTTTGAGAATGCTTTTCACATTAAATTTTATTTTAATTTGTAATGAAGTTATTGTTCTTTCAAAAGTTGGTTATAAATTTATTCCCTAAAAATATTTCTGTGGAGATCTACGAACTAATTTAGGATATTGTGTTCTAGGATAATTTAAGATTTAAAAAAAAAATATTTTTTTTCTTTTTTACCTGATGCGGTTACTTGCATTCTCTGGTTAGTGGTTCTTTACCTCATCGCAGCTAAACCTTACATGAGAAAACTGGCAATGTTCTGCCTCAGATCCAGTTCCTTGCTCCTTATGTTCTCATGTTGGTCCCAAGAGTGCTTCTGGTGCCTCCTCATCCTTGGTCATACCTAGCCAAGGGTCTTGCATAGCTTATTGGCTTGAGCATTGCTGGGGGAAGCCTTTCTGCTTCTTGAGTATTGCTACAGTAGAGCACTTGCCTTGTGGCTGTCCCTTGCTTAAGCCTTACTTTTCAGAGTTCCAGTACTCTATTCTTTTTTTCCATATGCCCTGGAGGTAGTGGAGGTGTTGACTCCGGACAGTGGGAAGTATATCGGACAGTGGGAAGTATGTTGGTGAAAAAGGGGTTTGTGAATCCCCTTCCCCAAAGCACCATCAATCACCCTGTAGTTTGTGACCGTTTGAAGTGCTCAACCCTTGGTTTTCCTTTGGAAACTAAAATAAACCCTACCCACAGAATTTAAGATTAGTTCCTTTAAACGGTGTTACTGAACAGTGATTTCTCAATTGATGTGAACTTCATCAAAGCACCTGTAGGAGTAGAATCTAACCAAGTCCAAACAAGTTGCATAAGTCTTCATTTGATTTTTCAGATAAATGCTCTCATGCATGCTTTGATAGAACTACGGAGGGCTAATCCGACTGCTAAATGTCTGGTTGTTTCCCAGTTCACAACTTTCCTGTCACTGATAGAAAATCCCTTGAAGTAAGTAGAACTACTGTAATTTTTAATAAACGTGCTTTTATGGTGTTTTAGAAAGATCTCTCTAAGAATACAGTATGCTTTTGATTTTTAGCACTTCAAAAGAGGAATAAATTGCTTAAATACTTTGTTTAGTGGAATAAAGCCATGAATCTCATTCTCGTTATTTTTAATGTATCACCTGTTAAATGCAGAATTTTAAATATGCATTTCAAAGTAGAGGTCAGGATTTTAATGTATTTATTTCCTGTTGTCATAAAAACAGATTGTTAAATTGATCATTTTTACTTTCTCTTCAGAGAATCGGGGTTTGCCTTTACTCGTTTGGATGGGTCAATGGCACAGAAGCAAAGAGTAGAAGCAATTCAGTGTTTCCAAAGTAGCCAAGCAGGATCCCCAACTGTAATGCTTTTGTCTCTGAAAGCAGGTGGAGTTGGATTGAATCTGACAGCAGCTTCCCGAGTATTTTTAATGGATCCTGTGAGTAATGGGCAGTTCATAATGATCTGGCTTAATCTAGGTGAAGCTCTTTTGGTGTTTTCCTGAGACAGAGGGAAAGCACCTCTGAGAATGAATGACACTGGTGAGTATCAGTTAAAGGGTAAACAGGGCTTTTCTCAATTTGTTTCCCTGGCACGTTTTTGTTCCAACACAGTATTTTTGTGCTGTCCATGTATTTACTGTGAATGGAAAGAATGCTAGTAGTACTGTTAACAAAGTGGTGTGATACCTTACAGTGCAGCATTTGATATCGGTTCCTTCTTTATTTTTTTAATCTTTATTTCTGGTACTTTGGAATGTGGTTTTCTGTTTGTTTTATTTAATAACTTCAAAAGCCATAAAATGGAATTTCAGGAACAGTCTATTTTTGTTCTGTGTTATGATGCAGTGCTGTTCCACTCTAGTCTTCTCTGTTATTTTTGTGAATTTATTTATAAATAAAGACATTAGTCTGAGGTTACTTTTTGTGGTTGTAAGAGACTGAGAAAGATCATGGTATCTAAATTTAGGAAGTTTTTCCCTTTCATTGAAGCACTTGGGAATGCAACATTATTGGTAAGGAACAAAAATGTACATTACATTTATTGATAGCAAAATGGTATTCTTAACAGAATCTATTCTGTCTTCTTGTGTCGTCGTACAAAATTGAACTTTTTCTGTTCACTTGTTCACTTCCTCCCTTCCCCACTGTTTACTCCGCTGCTCTGATACCCTAGTTTTTTGGCAGTTGGAAACAGACAAATTCTGCAGTTTGTGAACTTAAAAACAAAACCAAGTAAACGAAAATAATAGTGTAGCTTTGGACTTTGGCATCTAGTAACACCAATAGTAGAGAAAAACTAGCTTGGACATCAGGTTAGTGATAATAACAGCATGAAGATAAAAGCCATTTGCTTAATAATCTAAAGGAACTAAATGTGAGTGAGAGTATGGAGAAGTTGCCTTGGAAAAAGGTTTTTTGTGAATTGCGACGCATCTTCACAAGTATTGTTTCTGTATGTATTGCATTGAATAGTTCAGTTAGAAGGGACCTACACCACCATCTAGTCCAACTGCTTTTTTTTTTTTTTTATTTTTCCTTTCTTTTCTGTACTTTTTCTGAATAAGAAAACTTGTGGAAAGTCCAAGAGCATTTTCATTTTTTGTGAAGAACATTAATGAGGTATAACGCATACACTGTCCTGCAGCAAGCAGTTGTAAGAAAATAAGCTATGCATTGTTAACACTGAATCGTCTACAGTATATACTTATACCTCACAAACCAGAGACAAATATAATTGCAGCCTTTATCCACCATTGCACAACTTCTCCTCGTCCTGCTGCTAACCATCCCAGGCGGCAGTGGTTGACTGCTTATATTTGATGAAGGGGCACATGATCTTTTATGATCTCACTTTTGAATGTTCAGTGGCAAATGAGACTCGGTCATGCATTAGCATTCCTTGAAGTGAATTAGCAACAATAATAGGATTTCAGAAGCAGAAATGCCTCTGGAGCCAGTGGAGTAATGAGTGTTTCTACTCAAATTCTGTGGATTTGTTGTAGGACTGTAGCTTAGAGGTCTGCATTCTTTCTCTGAGAGGTGTTACACCACAGTGTGAGGGAGGAACATTTATCCAACCATATCCAATCACAGACTACTTTCTCCACCCCCCCTTTTTAAAATTGTTTGTTTATTAAATACAATCATATCTGCTGCATTTTCATGTTTAGGAAGAAATATGAACCTTTAATGTGAGAGTATCACAAGTATACAGATGTTTCAGGCTCAGGTTTCTTCATATTTTCTGATGTGAAATACAGAATCGTTTGTATGAGATATTGCAGAAAGGCATAGAGGTATTGCAGTTTTCCTTTGCTCGACTGATGAGAGCAGAAGAGTGAGAGCAGTACACTTTGGTCCTCCTTGAGTACAGCAAAGACAGAATGAAACATGGTTGTGCATGTTTGGGCTAGGTCCTTCCTCGAGACATCACCTTGTTTGTACAGCCAGAGAAGTACTAGTACGCTTTGCTATACGTAGCTTGCCAGGAATGTTTATGTTTCTGTGACAGATACATCATTTGTTGCACTTCTGCTCGCTACCTTAGATTGGAGAAACAAGGCTGTTTGGCTTTTGTCTTGCAGCTTGATGCCTTGAGTGTATTTAGGCATCAGAGGTTCTTAGAATCTAAAATGAATTTTTTGTGCTAGGCTACTGCTGTTTTTTCCCCCCCTTCTATAGAAAGGAGTCATTCAGAAGAGTTCCTAGGTAACTTTATGCAGGTGACATGGCAAGGTGAGCCCTTTGCATGAGACTTGCTTATCACAGACAGAACATTATTACACCTTGGGTAGATATAAATATCCATTCTGTGAGAACTAGTAGTATACCTTTAGATAGAAAAAACATGTTGGAAAGATGCAGAGCACAGACTTGGCGTTTCACAGATCCTTATATTTAGTGTTATATCCTAAGCATAAGTAGGAACAGCTACACTACCACTTGGTATTCAGCAAGTTTCTTGTTTACCTAAGTTGGTGATTATTGCATATACTAATGGAAGTATACATGGGCTTGATTAACAGTCAGGGGACTGAAGTCTAGTGATAAATAACAGCCTGTGTTCAGATGGTTTAAGGTTTGCTATCAGGAAAAGGGTACTGAGGCAATTAGTATATGTAGTGTTTATTTTGGAATTAAAACCATAATGAGATTGTCTTGATGTCTTCTAGACTCCTGACAAATTTCATTTTTAAAGCGTTTACCTGAAGTTCCTGCTTGTTAATGCTTGTTAAGAATATATAACTAGAAGTTCTCATAGCTTTCTTTATAGTGGGATACTTAAGGAGTGAGACATTAGGTTGGGAGTAATTAATCAGCAAGCAATATTTGTTCAAGAGCTGATGGTACAATAACTTCTTTGTGATTCCATGTGCGTCTTACTATGTATTTTGAAGGGAGGTTATTTAACTTGTTCATTGCTCCTACTGATAGGCCTGGAATCCTGCTGCAGAAGACCAGTGTTTTGACAGGTGTCACAGGCTGGGTCAGAAGTATAATGTTGTTATTACAAAGGTGAGTTGAGAGATGATATGTTTGAACAGTTTTTTTTGTTATCAATAAATAAATTATTTTCCAAAAAGCTTTACTGTATTTTTAAAATAATTGTGACAGCATATATCTCACCAGTAAACTTAAATTGTGGTGTGATTTTTGAAGTGTGGGCTTTGGATTGCAAGATTTTATGGATGTAATCTATTTCCTATGAAATAATAATAATAGAAATTAGATGCCCCTGTTGAGCTATTTGGAGTGACTATGATGGGGTAGTATTGCTGTTGCCTAGCCTGGCCATGACAGTTCATTGTCTTGAAGGTATGTAGAATGCTTTTGCTTTTGTCATAGCAGCTTGTTTAGCTGCAGAAGAGCAGCTGGTCTGTCTCATGCATACCCAGTCACGAAAATATTACTTGGGAAGCTGAAGACAGGTTTGTAATAACAAAATAATTTAACTGTGTTTTAGGGTACTCTGCTTTTTAACTTTTTTTTTTCCCAAGTATGTAAATTTCTCATCATAAACTTTTAATTAAAAAAAAAATCAACCTTTATTTCAGTGGGGCTTTTTGTGTATTTCAGTTCATTGTGAAAGATTCAGTGGAAGAGAATATGCTGAAAATTCAGAACAAGAAGAGGGAACTTGCAGCAGGAGCCTTTGCTTCCAAAAAGCCTTCAGGAAGTGAAGTAAAACAAAGAAAAATTAATGAAATTAAGGCTCTAATTGATTTATAGCTTGAAACTGTGGTATTTTGAGTAAATAATATATTCCATGTTTTAGTTAATATTGCTCTTCAAGTTACATCTCATGCTAACTTTTAGTTTCGCTGGTTTTGTGGTCAAAATGTAAATGCTTCAACTAAATTATGAAAATTAATTTGCTCCTAAATGTTTAATTTAGAACCACATTAACTTGTTTTGTACTCCTGAAATCTTTCCACTGTTCATTTCTTTGAAATGTTGCTTATGTACAATGCTTAATAATTCATAAAATCCCTCAAAAAAGAAATGCATATTTATGTATTCTAACTTGCAAGAATTTAATCTCTTTTTAGACGAGAAAAGATAGTAACAGGTAAATAACATGTTTTGTTTTCAGACAAAACTCTTAAGAAATGAATTGGCTTCATGTTTCAATCTCAGCGTTTCCTGATAACCAAACAGATCATCTGGAGCCCTCAGCACAGGACAGACCTGGAGCTGTGGGAGCGGGGCCAGAGGAGGCCCCAGCAATGATCTGAGGGCTGGAACCCCTCTGCTGGGAGGGAAGGCTGGGAGAGCTGGGGCTGTTCAGCCTGGGCAGGAGAAGGCTGCGGGGAGACCTGAGAGCAGCTGCCAGTGCCTGGAGGGGTGGCGAGAGAGCTGGAGAGGCGCTGACACAAGGGCAGGGAGTGACAGGACAAGGGGTGATGGCTTTAAACTGAAAGAGGGTAGGTTTAGATTAGATATAAGAAAGAAATCCTTCCCCATGAGGGTGGTGAGGCCCTGGCCCACGCTGTGCAGAGAAGCTCTGGCTGCCCACTCCCTGGCAGGGTTCAGGGCCAGCTTGGATGGGGCTTAGAGCACCCTGGTCTGGTGGAATGTGCCCCTGCCCATGGCAGGGGGGTTGGAACTGGGTGATCTTTAAGGTCCCTTCCAACCCAAACCCTTCCATGATTCTATGATCTGGATTTTTTGTTCCAGAATAGGTGGTTAGTGACTACTTCATAAGGAATTCTTACTATTGCAGACTATGTCTGAAGATTGTATTTAATTCAAAAATTTAAAATAGTTCTTTACTATTTCTTAATAATGCACAGGTGCAGCGGGGAGTTCCTCTGATCACTTCCCAAGAGCTAGTAAAAATGAAGTACTTAAATCTGTAAAACACTTTTAATAGTTTACTTCCCTTAAACAGAATTCCACTGATTTTTGTTAAAGTAAATGTTTTCTGATTTAGACAAAGTACTAGAATCATAGGCTTGTATTAATAACACGCTTTCTAATAACTTCTGTACACACTTTAGTAACAATAAGGCTGTGCTATATGCAAAGTAGAATATGACAAACTAGTCAGTGAATCAGTTAGCCCTTGGAAAATAAATTAAACAAAACTTTTTTAATAGCTGCCAGTTTTCTAACGGGTTTTTTTACACTGCTAAGTACTTTTCCTATCCCATACATATGTCTTAATAGAATGCTCAAGTGCATGCGTATTGATTTAGAGAGGAAGAATTTTCATAAACTACTCACATTTGTATAACCACAAAGTAATAAACAGCACTGAAGAATCTCAGCTGAATGTTAGTTGAATATTCTTGCCTGTTCCTTCTATCTCTTGATTCTGGTCTTCTGTTATGTGTTTTCTTAACACTATGCTGCCTTCCCTATAATGCTCACACTTAGACCTGGAGGCAGACATTGTTGTGTTTAGGTGCTGTTTAGATTCAGGAAGTGTATTTGGCAGCAGCAAAATGGAATCTGATTTGCTTCTAATGCCTTTCGCCTTTTATGTCTTAGAATACCAGCCGGCTGATTATATGACTTGCAAACAAAGGAAATGGAAAAGGACTGAGAAATAAAGGGAAGATGACAGAGTTTGGTATAGATGTCATATCTTTCACTTTCCTGAGGCTGTGGGTAAATGCTTGACCATAGTATGAGTGACAGAGGCTACAACAGAATGGTTTTATAGGTTTTCTTTCTTTACTAACTATATTTGTTAACCCAAAACATGCAGGTTTTCATCTTATTCAGCATCTCTCCTTATCTTCTTGTGTTAGCGTAACAAAACTTACATGCTAAACCAAATTTTCAGGTTGGTATGGTCTTGCTTTTACACTTTCAGTTCTCTCCAACTAAGCTTAAAAAGAAGTAACGTGCCTATTCTCTAGTATGAATACAGACAAGGGGAGCAAAACTAAGGCTGTTCAGCTGTCTTCAAAAGAGTATTTTGCCATTTTCCATTGGGTATTTGGTGAGCATGCAGAACTCCACTATTTGTACTTGTTGGATAAAGTATACTTTCATCACTACAGATTGTAACAAGTAATCCTTCCTGCTTTCACACAACTTCAAATTTACCTGTTAAAAAAAAAAAAAACAACACAGCAAAAGAAAAACCCACACAGGAAAGGTCTGGTTACAACTGGGACTTAGCATTTTGGCTAAATGGTGACCAAGGAATCTTAGAGCAATTAAGTAGTGAAAAACAAGTTAAACTAACTGTCATACCCAGATTATGTCTTCTGCTTTACCAGCAAAGTATGAGAGCTCGTTGATTGTTTATTTTATCTTTAGGCAAAAAGTTTAGCACCCTCACTAGCTTTCCTCCTAAAATTCTCCTTTATTAGGAAAGGATGAGATATTTTCATAGTGTTTCTGGAATACTACAGATTATAGTTGTCAAAGACAGAACATTGAGTAATTCGGTTCTGTTCAGATTTTTGGGTAAAGGAGGGATTGAAACTTAGTACAGGTCTTCAGCATGCTTTTGTTACTGTGTTATTTTTACTACTTTTCCATGTGTCTTAAAATACAATGTATAGCCTGAGCATGGCAAAAAAAAAATAGCACTTTCTTTTCCTCTGCACACATGGAAAGAGTAGTTTTCCTAATCAGGGTAGGTAAAGTTACTTAAGCAGCTATTTAGTCTTTCTCTGCCAAAATGGCATCACCATTGTGTGTAGAAACAAGTTCACAGTGAGAGGGCTTACATTAGGGATGATGATTCTTTAGTCACCAAAAGAAAGATACCCTCTTCACAAGCCCTGTGTTGCTTATGTGAGTAGCTTCAGCGTGTACTTCCCCTACTGCCCTGTCCTATACTTAGGGCAAGCTATTAAGGGGATTTGCCCTAAACAGCTCCCTGGCAAATTGCTATACACTCTGGTAATAATTACAGAACTAAAAGCTGGACATTTGCTAATGGTAACTAGAGTAGCATTAGCAAAGCTTAAGGGTTATACTTGTTGAATATTTTAGTTAGACTGCTTCAGAGCTTCCTCTTTTCTAATTTTTTTTTTGAGTTTAGGGAAGCCAGAAATAGCATGACAACTTTATTTTTGTATCAAGTGCAACATTGCAAGTAACAGATAAAACTCAGTTTACTAGTCCCGTAGTATACAGAACTGAAAAATGCATTCTGCCATGCTGTAGGCACTGTGCGTAAGAACCTGGTTAAAACTTCAGTGCAGTTGTGACTGGAAGAGCAAAGCAGTGCTATTACTGTTACATCTGTACCCCAGTGTCAATAATACATTTATGGTAAAGCAGAATGGCTACCACTTTAGTAGCAATCCCATGAATTAGATTTTGGATCTAGAACAGCAAGCAAAGGAATCAATGCTAATCACCTTAATGAGGTGAGGTAACAAACCCAGTTTCAAGGAGTATGTTGAGCCAATTGATCACAACAGAAGAAAATTTAAGCTGAAAATACCTGGTTTTATCTAGTAGGGAGAATTGGAAATTGGGCAGTTACAGGTGGCCCAAGGAATTCTGCTTCCTAGCTTTTGCTCAGTCTTCATCTGTAGCACTGCAGAGGCCTTTAGCCAAGAAGTTTTTCCATCAAGCTACTAGCAAGTGTAACTGACCACCATCTACACCTTTCTAGCTGTTAGTTCTGGAACAAGTCCTTGCATCAACACTTTGAGATGGACATTTCTACTGAAGGTAGGTATCAAGTTTCTTCTTGATGTTGTCAAAGGAATCCACTCCCATATAGTCAGCTTGACCCTGTTCCCACCGTTCCTTGCGTTCTTCTGAAGATACAGTTGGTAATACTGGTGATGGTGCTGATATTGATATGTGGGACACTCCCTCTGTAACCTCTGCCTAAAAGGAAAGGCAGAGTAAAAATACAGAAATACTTTGTACAGCTAAAGTGAGCAACAGGCCATAGAATGGGACAACGAAGTAGATGTTCTCATGCGCAGCAGCAAGCATTGCCAGTGGGCAGGGATTGTGCAGCTTTCCTAGCAAAATAACAAAAGCAGAGTTACAGAAGTTAGCAGGGAGAAAAAAAAAAAGTTTAAGTTCTTCATACCTCTCTACAGAAGCCACAAGAGAAAGCCAGAGTATAGACCAAGCCCGACAGCTGCAAATAGTTCATTAGAAAGATGTAAGATTAACAAGAGAAAGCACATCTTAAGAGATCAGTAACTTTGGTCTTAGAAAGGTTGAGAACTTAAACTGGCCCATGTGCTAAGCTAAGACTATTAAGTCAGCAGTCAGATGCAAGCTACTAAACTCAGAATGACAACTAGTTAGAAGCATTACTTTGCCTTGATAACTTTTGGGATTCATCACTGCCAGTCTACATAAGTATTCATTCTCTAGTTATCCTAGGCTTGCCTAGATTTTTTCACCATTAAAGATCTGTATGTAAATAATGCACAGAGAACCTTACTAGCTGCAACACAAGAGTTAGCACTCTTTGTATATATTAAAGAAATTACTACAGTATAAGTTCTGATGCACCCTTAGCTTCTTATGTAGTTCATTTTAGGCAAGCAGACAGCTATGTTCAAGGCCACTATAGCACACTTCGCTTCTGCAGTGTTAATTATTCGAAGCTTAAAAGAACAAAGCCAAAAATCCCTGCGTCCCACAAACTACACTACACTCATGCTTTGAGTTGGACCAAGGGAAGGGAAATTAGTGGAATGGTAAAGAACCCATCACTCATACTTCGGTAGTTTCTACAAGAACATTAAAGCACATACCATGTTTACACCTGTAGGAATTTCTTTAACGACTCCATGCTGTTCTAATAATGGTAGAACATTAGCTGTATAGGTAGCCCACCACATGTTGAGGAATTCTGGGTGAACTATTTTAGGGTCATCCATGTTGCCTTTTATGCTTTTTGTTCTGGAGTCATATGTATAGTTCCATGGCTTTGTACTTCCCAGGAAATGTACCACTTTAGTATTTGCACCAAACCTGTTGGACAGAAAAAGTTAAAACACAGTTTGTGCAGGTGTCTAGAAAACAGGAGTTTTGACTGGGAGACAAACCCCTGCAGTTTCTGTAGGTGTCCAGAAAACAGAAATATGACTATATTTGGGAGGCTAAACACTAAATTATCAAACTGCCAGTGCCTACTGGGACTGAAAGCAGCACTATACAACAGAAAAAATGCGAATGGAATTCTACATTACACTAGTCAGAATACAGCCAAAACCTAATGGTCTGGGCTATTTCAGTACTTACAGCCAACTCAAGTCTTTAGGTACAGTGAAGTCCATAGCTCAGGAGAGCAGTCTCAAGCAGCCGTTGCAATCAGAAGTGGTTTTAAAAGTGAAAAAGATTCTACTCCAAAGTCAGTGATCCAGGCAGTTAGGCATTAAAAGCATTATGTAGAGAAGGGTCAGTGTTAGAGTTACCCTTTCAGTTTACAGCTCTGTAGAAAAGGATCATTGGAAGGCCCGGCTGCAGGAAGACTGTCCCTGCAAAATAATAGCTTTATATAGCCTAGGCATTTCAGAGGACTTCTGATCTTGGTGCAGCAGGGTCTTGCTAGATAACCACCCGCTATTTTCTACATAACCTTAGTTTAGCCAAGGATGAGTTTTGTGATGGTGGCTTTTTTTGTTTCTTTTTAAAACTGTTTTAACTCAGTTTTCAATATGGACTTCTAGCTTTGCCCCAGATGTTGCCAGAATGTTCTTTTGCATTAAGAGTGTAGATGACATGCATCTCTTTTGAAGTAAATAACGCTAAAAAAGATAGCATTCATTCTATTCTTCTATGGTTCCAGAACTACTTGAATCAGTTTTGTGAACAAGCAATACCAGTCTCTCTAGTAACAGTGACTGTCTCACCTAGTTCAGTTTGCATCCTGTGTTAGGATTTCTTCTCAACATAGTATGATTAAAATGGATAATAATGCCAAACTAGTTTGTCTAACATAAATGACCAGTACACCCTGGTCATTTTGACTGGGACTTAGATGTTTAAGGAGTTTTATGTATGGAGACTATGTGGGCATGTTTCAAAAAAAAAAACAAAAAAACCAAAAAACCTAAAACTTTAGAATATTCAAAACAAGGCAGTACGTGTTTAGCTGGGGGGGAGGGGTTTGTACTACTGTAAGATCCTTGACTGTATTTCAATATTCATGTTGAATTTTTTTTTTAACACAGCTGATCTTATTGCAGAACGAAAACTTATGCATGTGTGAAACAAAGTCAAGTATTTGCACTAATTGCAAGAAAAAAAAAAACAACCCTGTCTTTAAGAGGTCGGTTCCTGGGCTTTAACTTTAAAATCTCTATGTTGAGATTTAGTATAAGAGAGCTACCTTAGTTTAATTATCTGTCACAGTACTATTTAACAGCCTGAGTTTTCTTAAGCTGCTGCCGTTCTGAGGAAACTTGTCGTTGTTGAAAAAACAAAGCTATTTAAGCTAGAGAATGCCCAAGTGGTGTGATGTTACACTTGCTGCAAATGGAGAAGTGTACTCTTAGTATTCTGTCCACTTAAGACCTGTACAACAGTTGACAGATGCCAAGTTTCTTCAATGTTTTCAGTATCTTCTTTCTAGATACCTTCTAGATGTGCAATACTTTCTTTTGACATTTAAGTTCATCTGTTAGGAAGCTTTACGTCCGCACTGGCCTCAGCTACTAATCCATCTTTCCCCATCTCTCAGAAAAGTCCTTCATCAATGTTTTGAAGTTAGAGAGCATTTGTCATGAATTGGCATTTTCCTTTGGAAAAAGGATTACCGAGACTGCTGTGAAATCTAGTCTCGCTGTACAAAGCTGTGAAAAACTTAGCTATTGATGTCAGTAGGTTTAAATTTCACTTTATTCCAACTGCTGATTATCAGGAGTGTAGCGGCTGATCCAACCAAAGGAAATTGTTCCACCTATTGAGCTGGGCATTCTACTTAAAAGGGCTGCACTTCCAGCATTCTACTTCTGAAGGTCTTCTGAATTCAGTTAAGCAATTGATTCAGTCAGTTAAATAGGATTTTTCTCAGGACCCCCAAATCCAGTTAGTCATTTGTGGCAACAAGGTCATTTGTAAATTTAAGGTCATGTGACTAACAATCAGCCAGCCATGGAAAGAGGACATACTTCACAATAGATGTTAGCTTATCAAATGCTATCCAAGTACTTAGTCGTTCTTAGGCTTGCATATATTTCTTTAAATAAGTGTTCCACTTTTAGCACGACAGGTTTTCAGATGGTATTCTGATCACAAGACATAGTTTGATCTTGAGCCAGCAACAGTCCTGCTTATGCTAGCTGCTGCTGCTTTAGACACTAGTAACCTGATGTCATTCAGAGATCAGATTGTTTTTATGCAATTGGTACTTCACCCCTCCCCCCTTTGCAACTCTTAATGAATAAGAGTTTCTGTGTTAACATTTCAGCTTCCCATGCTTCGTCACCTTCCTCCAGTGTTTCTTATAACACTTTCAGTGACCCTGCTGCTGACATACTGTTTACTCACATGCCAAATCTCATACTGCTAGCTACGGAAGATGCAGTTTTCCTTACACAGGAAACATGCAGTGGTGTGGTAGCTGGCTGTAGTCTTTGTTCCATCTTGCTATGACTTAAGGAACTGTCTGAGATCTAGAAAGACTGTTGGGAGAGAATTCTAGCTTTATACAAGTCTTTGTTCATCATCTTTATTTGAATGGTATAGGCTGATTAGATGAACTCTTAACTACTGGTTGTCAAATACCCCAAGTAATCTAAGTGAGGAAAGGATATCTAGGTGGGAACGAGATCACCAGTGACATGAAGTTCAGCTCAGGCTGATTCAAGAGCTACTGCCTTTGGTTAGAGCTGTAATAAGATGGTACCCTGCAAGTGACCTGTCAAATGTGCTTACTCTGAATCAAATTCAGTGCTACCATGAAGGGTGAGTGTTTCAAGCTACAGATGCAACTTTCTCTCTGCATTTATCATGAGATCGTTCATTTAACTAGTATCAATTCATTTTTAAGAATAGAATCTATCATACTTTCTTTTAGTGACACTAATGGTCTCCCTTCAAAAAAAAACCATGTAAGTTAACATTGTATCCGTTTATTCTGTTGGAAGAAATTAGTTTATACGCTCTGAAAGTAGTCTTAAAATTTTGAACTTACGCTTTAAATGCTGGAAGGTAGGAATATATAGAAGTGCTGCTCAAATTATAAATAAATGGTAGATGTTTGCTCATGTCTGTTGTTGCCCAGCTGCTGAAGAAGCTGTTTAATAACCCCTGATCTGCACCTGAAAGAGAAAACATTAATAGACTACCAGCATCAGGTAGCTGTTTTAGGCTCTTTTTCAATCACTTCACTAGGAGCAGGTACTGTAGCTGTCATGCCCAGTACAAGTCTGGCACAGAGCACTAGAGTTCTATTTGTGAAGAACCCGTAAACCTTGCAGCCTTTGAAAATCCACAAAACGCAGATAATGAAAGAGGTAGTATGTGTGAGGTTACTTTTGCTAAAAGATAGTAAGCTGTTCACAAACCCTACCATTCAGTTTCTTTTACAGCTTAAGTTAAAGACGTATAAGGCAGCAAAAAACCAGGACTTCACAACTGAGTACTATTCAGCTTCAGGAAAGCTGTAGGGCAGAAGATCAAGTGCCAACAATTAGTTTTGTTACTTACGCTTACAGATGCGTGACCAACATCTCAACACCAGAGTTAGGGTATCAGTAGTCTGTTAGACCTGCAGCCCTGGATGCATCTACCTACACTGTGATCTGATAAGGAAAGCACATTCAGTCTTGGTGATAACTCTGGTAAGACTCCATCAAATCCCTTAACAGGGTCCTTAATAGGCATTCCTAGTTCTGCACTAAAAAGCTGCTGACTAACCCCTAAGCAACGATAAAATCTAAGTTATGGCCAGACCTACTGTGTTGGGAGGGGTCACCTGTTGGTTTGCAAGTAGAGGGTGTAATGAGGTCAAATGAGACTGAAGTTGTTTGGTATGTCAGTAGTACTGTAGCTAAAAAGAAAGCCTCTGGCCTAAAGCAGACTAGTTTATAAGCAGCTACTGAGAAGCAAAACCTGCTTATTTATATCTCTTCATTCTTTATTGCAGTAAATATACTTAGTCTTTAAGAGCTAATAGTTCCTGTTTTGGAGGAGCTTGAAGGGAGTCTCTCAACTTTCATTTGCTGTCTTCCCCTCACCTGTAACTGCACTTACAAGTTGCATTGCCAAGGAGTAGGTAAATGAAGAGCTTAGTTAGAAAAGAGACAACAGTTTATTTTAATCTTTAATTTCCTAAAGCACTCGGCCTCTGCTGACTTGGGAAAGGTGGGGTTTTTTTGTTGGCCTATGATTAGATTTAGGGTAGTACTGAGGTTTACACCCTCACTGCTGTTTGAGCAGAATTTGCTTTTTGCAACTGAAGTATCTAGACACTGGGCATAAACTTAGATGTACAGACAGTACACTGACAAATATAAAATCTCAGTATCCTGTTACAGCTTTCAGCATACATGCAGATTGCAGAGTGAGAAATTGCCTAGAGACTCAGTCCAGTAATTTCAAACTTCTGACTTGCCTCTCAACCCAGAAAGGAAAGAAAGCACTTTTGTAGAGAACAAAGAAACCTGACGAGTGCCCTGGTCTTTACTGAACTATATTTCATTTTAACTTCTAACTTAATGCTGTGTTAAGAATGCGTATGTTAACAGTAAGATCATGTAAAGAGAAGAAAGTCTGGGATGCCGTCTCAGAACAGACGGCCCATAACTGAAGGGGCAGCAACTATGTATTTAACTTATTCTACAGGACTTTCTCTCACTCAGATTGTTTTACATACTCTTCTTTTTTTTCCAGATTGCATGCATTTGTGCCAAAGCAGCCACTGAAAGCGGCATTTAGTTGTCCTAGTTCAGACTTCAACAACAGTCTCATTGTATAAACTGGACATAAGGTGAAAGAATCAGGCAGTAGTTACACTACCTACACATCTACAGATACAGTCTTGCTGCATTACATCTTTATATCTAAAAGCAACCATTTTAGATCCCCAGCTAAAGAGCCAGAGGATTGTGAAAGCAATAGCAATGTTCTTAAGGTATCACCAGTACTACCAGATTTCTTTTAAAATAAAACGTTTTTCACCCTTCCACTACTTTTAGATGGTATCTAGAATTATTACATGACATATTCCTCACTATCTAGAAAGGTGAAGTTCAAATAGACAAAGTAGTTGTCTATGTTAGTGGCCATCGCTCCACCATTTCTGGACAACAGCATTACATAGGAGGCATCTGTCCGCCGTTATAAACATTAAATACTATGCAAAGTCTTGCATTTTTAGGTACTTCTACTGCAGATGGTGTGCTTAGAGCTTTACTTCAACTATGCGTAGCTTGGTAGCTTATGCAGGTAGTGTAAGTCTCCATGGTCTCATTACTCAGATCAGTGCTACTATTTAATAGCAACTGAATAAATTTTAAAGCTGAAGTACAAATTACAGTTCTAGAAATTTGGTACCTAAACCATTAACCCACCATTTTTGCTGTTAAGAACTGCAACAATTGCTTCATGTTTAGGACATTGAGGAAGTTTCACAATTGTGTGGCTTTAGTTTTCAAGTCAACATGCATACTGTGGAAGCAGGTCTATTCTTTTAAAGGACAGGTGTCTTAGACCTAGAAGATGAGGTCTGCTAGCAGTTGAGCACAAAGCTTAGAGGAGACAATCACCAAGTCTCAGATGTTTCTGGAGCTACTCAGTCAATTTGCACAAAGATGTGGGTTTGCCTGTTTTGGTTTTTTTTAGATTTTCTTTTTGGGTGGTTTGTTTTGTTGTTGTGTTTTTTTTGTTTGGGTTTTTTTTTTAATGCAAGAATTCAGTAACATGCTACAGCTTTTGCCATTGATCAATTTACACCCAACATTTGGGAGCACTCCCAGAGCTACCAGCTTGCTACCTTGTCAGTAGCAAGGTACAGACAGACCCTTCATTACATTGCAGTACTCATTTTCAGTAGAGTTTATTCATATGGTAACATTAAGCATCCAACTGCGACTGATGCTCTTTAGGAGACTGCACAGTAACAGGGATTACTCTGCAGGCCAAGGAGCAACACCTAGAATTTTTACTGAAAGGTAAGTCAACAAGCTGGGTAATTGCCTTCGATTAAAAGTTCCATTTTATGGTCTATTTATGTAGTTCTCCTGTAGCTTTTTCAGATATACTTTGTTTTGTACCACAGTAGTTACATTATGAAATTTAGTGACAGGAGACAGTCATTCAGAAGCCTGAACCGTAGAAGTCTTCCAGCAATGTGTGCATTTACTGCAATGGTAATAGATTTAGGAGACTTACAGGACAGCAGAACTTGGCTTCTCAAGCTTAAATCTGGCACAGTGGCCAATCCAAAGTGACCTATAGTGGGAAGCAGCCAAGGCTACATGCACTTGATATTGGGAAAAAGACAGTCACCACCCTATAATGACAGGAAGCCATCACATAGCATATGAAGCAATAGTTGCATCTTCAAATGTTTATTTCTCTGAAGCTTCATTCAAGTTATCAGGACTATTTTTTCCACAGCAACTTGAGTGAGCATACAACATTGAAGCCTTGAGTGTTAGGAATGCATGAAGCATAGTACTGCAGTTTTGTTTGCTAATGCATGCACTGTACTTGCTACATCTTAAGATTTCCTGTTACGTGATTCTACATTGCTTATGCTTACAGCTCCTAGTTTGGAGGCCAAACTCTTAGGCTTTTTATTTCATGAAGCCTGAAAAAAATAATTTTACTACATATTATAACGATAGCCTTTATTGCCAGAAGGATATAATTTTTGTGTAGTTCCACTGAGTTCAGAATCCTATCATACAGAGTCCCCATGACATGTGTAGTTACTGAGTCATCCCAACCACTATTACGATTTTGGTCTAACTTCTATTGAAATATAAATTGATACATACCATCAAAGCTGCCTTTCTCTGTGGCAAACTGTAACAGCTGATTGTATGTTTCAATAGAAGGTCGGTAAACAAAAACTCCAGAATTAAAACAGTCAGGCCAGCCTGGATCTGGTGCTGCAGACAGCTCTTCTCTCTCAAAAAGCTCATCGATATTTGACAAAACCTAGTTGTAAAGGGGGTAAAAAATTGTTTTCTGGTTTTTAGGTTAGGAATTGGGGTATCACGTTTTCATGGATTCTGACATCCACCTTAAGACATGAAAGAAAGTTCTCGTATCGATGCTGTTGTCTTGTGGAAGACAATAGTTTATGGAGATAGTCCCCACAGACTCCTTTACAACTAATTTAGATAAAAGAGGCACAAATGTTTTCAGAGTTACTAGTCCAAACAAAAAGGCTTCTCTTACCCCTCCTCTCAAAAAAAAACCAAAACCACCAACCCTCTCTCCCCCCCCAGAAAAACCCCAAACAAAACCAGAAACAACCCACAGAAAAAAATATCCAACAACCCCCATACCAGGGCCTTGAAGTGTACCATGAGACATGACCACTTACCATCGTGTCCGCATCCATGAAAACGCATTTTGAAAACTGTGTCAGTTCCCAGCAGTGCAGCTTTGTTAGTGTGACACCCAGCTCAGGCCTTTTCATTAACGCCAAGTGTGCTGAATCCCCACTATCCAAGATGTTTACCAATATGACTTCATCAAAGACTTTTTCCAGCACTCTCCTGGGGAACGAGTCAATTGCCAAGATATTGTTATTCCAGTACCAGACCATGTGACAGATTCCATAAACAGAAGTGGAATAACAGGGAACCTGGCAGTATTTCTTACACCATCAGTAAGAGTTGACTGCATGTGCTGGAATGCACAAGTACACGTCTGCCTCAAGGTTTCTAGTTTGTAATGGGCACAGTTTGGGAACAAAGAAGTTTGGCTGGGTTTTGGTTTTTGTTTTTTTTTTTTTTTTTGTCTCCAGAAACAGGGCTTTAGTTGGCATTGCTATCAAGTCCAGTAGGTCATGGCTATGTAGTACAAACTTTCCAGAGAGCTTTTTTTCAGCCAGACTGATTTTTGGCAAGTTAATCATCTACTTTGAGCAGGCAATTAAGAAATGGGAAGCTGTTAGAGTAGCTTGAGTAGCTGAAACAGAAGTTTGTGCAATAGTTATGACACTGTTCTGGATTTGTGACTGTTAGGGACATCTGACTAGACCCAGTTGCTAAAACTTTACCTCAAAGTTTTAAAGACTCAATTATGGCTGTAGGTACAGCAGAGTTTTGACCCAGTATCACATTCACCTAAGGAAGACGCTTAAACTTTCAGACAGTGTAGTGAAATTTTGTAGCAGATATCCAACCTTTGCTTTACCAGCAGTAAAGCATTAGTTCAAGAGAGGTTAAGGAGTTCATGCTGCTTAAGATATGAAGCATCTGTAAAGTCCCACTATTTTACACTATATCTTGAATGCTCAGCAATTATCAGTACAGTGTGAGCCACAGAGCTTGCAAATGAGTTTTAGAACTCTGCCTTGCAAGGCTGTCTTTATACTGACAGTTTGGCATGAACAGTTGCTTCTGAACTTCAGGCATAACTTGTTAGCGGATACAGAGTGAGAAATGCAAGTTCCAGTTACACCACTAGGTAGGTAGGTATCACTGGTCGAAGGGCATAGTACTAATTGGCTTGCACTAGCACATAAACACATTCATGATTCATCTTAAAAGGGCACACTCACCTAATAGGCTAGAATGGATGTTCCTATATGTAACATCTTTATACTGATAAGGCTGTTTATCTACCAAGAGACTCCAGGGAGAGTCACTCCATTTATTATTAAGCCACTTCTCTACTATCTCTATAAACTGAGAGATCTTTTCAGAAGAACTTCCCCATGTAGAGAATCTTGACCTATCATCTGTAGTTCATGTAGCTATTAAGCTAATCAGGTTTTTACCCTCCTCTTACATGTGGAAAGAACACCCAGTCCGCTCCATACTGAGACTGTTCTAGAGAGGCTGTAGGAAGCAGTTGCCTGTTAATTTCATTTGTTGTACTGTGGTGACCTCCTTAGATGCCTCTGTCGATCTGCTGATTTGACGTACTTGGTGCTACTTTAGTTCTGCTCATTTTCTTCTCTCATGATAGAATTTGATTTGAAATGTCTGCTTGATTTCAAGAGAGCTGGTGTTACATTATCTCAATCTGGAATGCTTCTGCAAGACAAATAAATACCAATCCCCTACTCCCATCTCCACACATATACACACAACACTAAGGAATACACAGACAATATTGTATTGTCAGACAGTTATAAGTATGATTATGAAAGAGCAAAGATCCAGTTGGAATACCAGTATCAAGCCACAGTTTAGTAACTGCAGAGTATTTGTTAACTCATCATATGGAAGAGAGAAAAACACCACAACAGTTTCATGTTTGAGGAACTTACATAAATCCAGATAGTGTAAGTTGAATTCTGCTAAGCTTAGTTGTTAAGCTTCCAGAGTTTTGGAAGGTTACCATTAAGGAATTTAACGTCTGTTTTTCAACCTTTGCATCAGCAGGAACTGCGGCAGTTTGAAGTAAGTAAGTAACCTTACCTCATAGGATCTGAGACCTGAGGAGTTATGAGTGCAGTCAGCTTCCTTGTTGTTCTGTACTGTTGCAAGGATGAACCAAGTACCAGTGCTCCTTTCACATAGGAGTCATTTGTGGCTAGAGTCACAAAAGACTGGTCTGGAAGAAATGAACTTGGTCAAATTAGCATGATCCACTACTTCATTCTGAGACAGACATAGTATTGTTAGGTAATCATGCTATGAGACCTCTAAAACGTGCCCTTTAACTTTGTGTATTGGGCCTACCTATATGGCTGAACGAAGCAGATTATACTCGCATAGCTATACTTGCTATTAGTAACTTGACACATGAAAAAATGCAGTAAAAACCCAACAAAATCAAAGACTGTTGCAAGAGAAAACCAGTTCCAGTTTGCCCACAGGTTAAACAAGTCACACCAAATGTTAGAGACAATCCAAAAGGTCTAAAGAGCCTTATTTTGGCCATTAATATAATATTTTTAAGCTAAAAGTACTGGGAGTCAGCGAGCTTGCATTGATCTAAAGTTACTAACAGCAGAGTTTTGTAGAGTTACTCCAGGTTCAGCTCTGAACCCTGAAGGTAGGGCAGTACAAAACTTACATTTAATTTTCAAATGAAAGTAAGCATTGAATTAGATCTTGGACAACAATATTAAGTTTTGCTAGCTCAGGATTTTGCAGATGAGTTGTTCTGCAACCCATGGTTGCAGCTCTATCACAAGAATGCAAGATTTAAATGGGAAGTAACCAGTAATATGATAAGCAACTTAAGACTTGCAGCAACAGTTTTTGCTCTTCAAGCAAAAAGAGGTAAGGTTGGACTGTTACTATAATCTTCTGCTCCAGCTGTATCTTGAAAATAGATTAAGATGGATCACTTTGCCATATACTGGTTACTGAGGCCATATAATACAAGCTTTGCATTCTTCCAATTGTCATGTTGTTTTAAACCAACAGGGTGGGACCGACAAAAGCAAACAAGTAACTTCTAAACTTCTTCAATTCACTGTTAACTACTGTCATGTAGTACTCCTTTCCAAGCTACGGCACTTTATAAGGAAGTGTGCTCTTTTCTACCAAACTATTTTTGACACCATTAACAAAAGAGTTTATTCCTAAGAATTTCAAGAGTACATTTTCACATTCAAATTTATTTTAGCAACTGTGACTTCTTTTCTTTAGAAAAGCTGTTAACTAGGTCAGATCAGGAATTGACTGTGAGGGTTCTGGGCATTTAAAGGCTTACTATCAAGTCTAGTAGTACGATTGAAACACTGACCGCTCTACTTTCAGAGAGATTGTTGCCTGGTACAACTCCTCAGCCCATAAGACAGTCATCATCAATATCTTTAACTTTAAACCATCTTAACAATTGATGACAAAATCATGGACCATACTCATCTATAAGCTCTGCAAACCTGGCTTGCAAGCTCTACAGACCAGCTACAAAACCTTCTCTTTCGCTTAGCAGCAAAGCCAACTAGTCCCAAGGGATTTAGATTATAGTGGTCAATTACAAAGTTCAAAAAAAAAAAGCTCCTACAATGCCAGGAATAAAGATTTCTTTTTCAATTCACTTTAGCTACCAATTTGTTATAGTTCATATATTTAGCAAATTCAGCAAATCTACAGAACAATTTTGTGGTTTTTTGAAGCTTTACAAGTGGCAAGTGTGTAGCATTTTAAGTGGTGTCAACATCCTCCTAAAAGGGCAGCATTTTTCATTACTTAGTTTTCATGTTACTCCTCAACTACTCCATAAATAAAAGTCTGCCACTCTATGCTGACAGACAGCTCACTAGAAATTCAGTGAAGACAAAGTGAGATTGTGCCCAACATTAATCTGAATGTTGTGGTTTTGTTTTTTTTTTTTTCCAGGGGTATAAGACTAATTCTTAAAGTAACCTTGCCACTGCAAGACTAAGCTTTTTTCATTGAACTGTTGGCAGGTATACTTCTACCATGTCTTCTCCATTTACCAAAACACGAGCATTCACACACAAAGGTATTGGGGAAATAAAGTCAATTTAATGATGGAGTAAAGGCTAAGAAGCCCCCTACTACATCCCACCTACAGCAGGAAACTTCATGACTGCTTGACAGGAGGAGGATACTGGCAACTTGTAGAGCATCCAAGTCAGTACAGCCTTCCAGAGTTTTGAATAAACTATGTTCTATTTCATACATTCTCTAAAGTACATTCACAAGTACATCCAGACATGTTATGCATGAGTCCATACAACAATGTGGACAAGACCAGCTGCTGCTTATTATGGAAGTTACTTCTGCAAGAGGCTAGTCCATTCTGCCTAAACCATAAGTATCTCAGTTATGTGGGTCTCCCTTCCCATCCTCTCCCCCTTCTCCATTCTCTGCAAACATTCCCTCCACAGTAGGTTATGTTCACACAGCAGTCACTGTTATGCCTGAGACATACTGAACTAACAGTAATATTGTGGCTGCAAAAACACAGAGAATTTGACAAGTGCACAGCTTCACAGCTGATTTATCCAGGCAAAACCAGGCTACTTCAAAGACCTCTTCGGCTGCCCAGGTCATAGGCTATAGTATCTGTACACAAGAGTCTTTGCACTAGCCCTGACACACATAAGAGCATCCTGGAAATCTGAGCTGGGAGCAATCTTTCATTTGACAGTGTGCACAACAGGACTAGAGTGCTTGCCCCAGATGTTTTAAAATTTGCCCCAGAAGTGTTTTCACACAGGTGTGAATACCAGCGTTCACAAGTGTTTGCCTGTTCCCCTGTTCTTTGAGTTAGGTGCTAGCACATCCCTTTTTGGTGTGGTGTGTTTTTTTTTTTTTTTTTGAGTGCATGATTGCTAAAGAGATGGGAGCATCTAATCGAGACGTGCATCGGGACACGGAGCACCATGCTTCCTGCAGCTTTCCAGATCTGAAAGTGAAACCGACGTCGCTGACATCTTCAGGTAAGACAAGAACCGGGAACAGAAATCCGGAAGAAAAAAGCCAGGCATACTTGGAGAGGCGGTAAGGGGTTGCTCAGTGTTAAGGATCCAAACGCACGTAAGCTACACGCTCTCTTCAGCGCTTCAGGAGAGGGCTGGGTTTTCTCCCGGGAGCCGCTGCGGCCCCTCGGCGCTCCGTCACGTCCCTCCCGCAGGGGACAGAGCCTCAGGCCCGGCACCGCGGGGCAAGGCCGAGTCGCGAGCGTCCTCTCAGA